TTCATATAATATTTTTCCATTTTCTCTAGCCACTGGTGGAAGTGCTCCTTAATTATAATAGCTAGCGATTAAACATATGCATTCTGTATCAAGTACCACTTTAATGAATGATGTGCCTCCCTTTTGATCACTCATTTTTTAAAAATGGTTATTCACACTTGAGACCAAACTATGCAAGAGATGAGTTGCTGCCTGGAGGCAGAACATCTTACATGGCCTGGCTTGTTTACAGGCTATTTGAGTTAATTCGGTAACTGGAAACAGAGTAAAAAAACAGAAGGCTGGGTTTAAAATTTACTCAGTGTTTCAAATGGAAAGTAGCAAAAAAAGAAAAAAAAAGCCTTTCTGCCATGGGTACCTTTATTCTTCCATTGCTTTGATATAGCACCAACATCCTCACTGGTGTTATGAATTAATTGGGACTTAACAAGTAGCTAGGACAGAGAGGCATGCTAATATTTTGGAGGGTTTTTTTTGTAAACACCAAATGGGTTGGATATTATCCCCCATTCTTAGCCCTTGGTCATTTTCCATTTTATTTTTTAAAATTTGAACCCTCCTGCTTGAATCAGTAGAGAAAAACAGCTTATTTTCCTAGCCCTCTAAAAAGAAAAATCCAGGCCTTACTCATTCTGTCCTATACTGGATCTACATTGCCATATAATCCAGATTTCACTATGTAATGCAATTTTTGTTCCTGGGTTATAAATGTCAATTCCTAATTATAAATGTCAATTCCTAATTCCTAATTAGTAAAAACATGGAAGAGGTTTATTAAACTGCAAAAACTGTGCTTTTGTGGGACATTTTGTTGTAGTTTTTCAATGACTGTCTCTTCTAGGCTCAACCAATTCAACACTGGAGCTGTGGTAGCACAATGGGTTAAATCCTTGTGCCAGCTGAACTGCTGACCTGAAGGTCAGCGGTTCTAGGGTGAACTCCTGCCTGTCAGCACCAGCTTCCCACGCAGGGGCATGAGAGAAGCCTCCCAAAGGATGGTAAAACATCCTGGCCTTCTTGAGGCAACATCCTTGCAGACAGCCAATTCTCTCACACCAGAAGTGACTTGCAGTTTTTCAAATTGCTTCTGACACACACAAAAAAGTTTGTGGCAGTCACAGAAATGAAGTTTCTGGAGTATAACTACTACTTTCAAAGTAAGTACTGCACAATTAAACAGGATTAACACTTTCAAACACTTTTCAAATGTTGTTCAAGAGTGTTATCAAAGCAGATAATCTGGATGATCAAAACAGATAATCCAGATTATATGGATTATATGAGGCCCCTTCTACACTGCCATATAATCCAGATTATCAAAGCAGATAAACAACATATGTTTTGAACTGGGTTATATGAGTCGAAACAGATGCATAACCTAGTTCAAAGTAGATAATCTATTTTATATGGCAGTGTAGAAGAGGCCTGAGTCTATACTGCTATATAATCCAGTTCAAAGCAGATAATTTGGATTTTATATAGCAGTGTAGAAGAGGCGTGAGACTACACTGCCATATAATCAATTTCAAAGCAAATAATCTATACTTTATATGGCATTGTAGACAGGGCCTGAGTCTTTACTGCCATATAATCCAGTTCAAAGCAGATAATCTGGATATTACATGGCAGTGTAGAAGGGGCTTGAGTCTATATTGACACAATCCAGTTCAAAACCCATTGTACACTGCCATATAAAATCCAGATTATCTGCTTTGAATTGGATTGTATAGCAGTATAGACTCAGGCCTCTTCTACACTGCCATATACAATCCATATTGTCTGCTTTGATCTCAATTATGCGGCAGTATAGACTCAGGCCCCTTCTATACTGCCATATAAAATTTTCCTAGTTTCCAACAAACCTCAAAACCTTTGAGAATGCCTGCCACGGATGCAGGTGAAACGTCAGGAGAGAATGCTTCTGGAATTTGGCCATACAGCCCGAAAAACCTACAACAACCCAAACTGTGGGTGTTTTAAAGACCCAGTGGGCAGAAATGTTAGGTCAGGCATCCTCAAACTTCACCTCTCCAGCTGTTTGGGCCTCCAACTCCCAGAAGCCGCAACAAGTTCAATTGTTCAATTGTCAGGAATTCTGGGAGTTGAAGGCCCAAACAGCTGGAGGGCTGCAATTTGAGGGTGCCAGTGTTAGGGAAACAGAAAAGGATTGTTGTAGGTTTTCCGGACAATATGGCCATTCTCTCCTGATGTTTTGCCTGCATAATAATAATAATAATAATAATAATAATAATAATAATACTTATACCCCGCCACCATCTCCCCAAGGGGACTTGGGTGGCTTACATGAGGCCAAGCCCAGCAATACAGTAAAACAAAATAACACAAGAACATAGCAGAAAATAAATAAAATAAAATAAAATACAAGAACAATCAATATAAATAACACATCAATCAATATAAAATCAGAACATTTGAACACAGAAAATTGATCACAGTGGGCAGGGCCAATTGCAAAAGATTTAAAATTTAAAACACTGAGTGAGAGAGCAATATCAGGACAGGGGATCCGGGGGACAAAGTAGGGTTTGATTGCACTAGCACAGGGGTCCTCAAACTAGGGCCCGGGGGCCGGATACGGCCCTCCAAGGTCATTTATCCTGCCCTCGCTCAGGCTCAACCTAAGTCTGAAGCGACTTGAAAGCACACAACAACAACAATAATAATCCTATCTCAACAGCCAAAATCAGGTCCATGCTTCCCATTGAAATACTCATAAGTTTGTATTTGTTAAAATTATTCTTCATTTTAATTATTGTATTGTTTTAAGTGGGTTTTTTTGTACTACAAATAAGATATGTGCAGTGTGCATAGGAATTCATTCATGGTGTTTTTCAAATTATAATCTGGTCCTCCAACAGTTTGAGGGGGTTTGGCCTGCATCAATAGGAGCATAGTGTCTAGATCCAGGGAAGTAATGCTACCCCTTTATTCCGCTTTGGTTAGATCACACCTGGAATATTGTGTCTGGTTCTGGGCACCACAATTGAAGAGACATATTGAGAAGCTGGAATGTGTCCAGAGGAGGGCGACTAAAATGATCAAGGGTCTGGAGAACAAGCCCTATGAGGAGCAGCTTAAGGAGCTGGGCATGTTTAGCCTGAAGAAGAGAAGGCTGAGAGGAGATATGATAGCCATGTATAAATATGTGAGAGGAAGCCACAGGGAGGAGGGAGCAAGCTTGTTTTCTGCTTCCCTGGAGAATAAGACGCGGAACAATGGCTTCAAACTACAAGAAAGGAGATTCCATCTGAACATGAGGAAGAACTTCCTGACTGTGAGAGCCGTTCAGCAGTGGAACTCTCTGCCCCGGAGGTGGTGGAGGCTCCTTCTTTGGAAGCTTTTAAACAGAGGCTGGATGGCCATCTGTCAGGGGTGATTTGAATGCAATATTCCTGCTTCTTGGCAGGGAGTTGGACTGGATGGCCCATGAGGTCTCTTCCAACTCTATGATTCTATGATTCTATGACTGTGACCTGGCCCTCTGTTTAAAAAGTTTGAGGACCCCTTCACTAGCAGGTAAAATAAAGTGCTTCCAAGCAGGCATGTGGGGGGGGGGGGGGCTTGAGGGGCTTCACCCCCCCCCCCAAATTCTCATGGTGGTTCACGAAAAGGCCTTACTGGTGCATTATTTAAACTGTTATGTTTATTCATATCATGATCTGATCACCATACTCAATATATCCCATATGCATGGGGGTATTGGGGTAACAATACAAAAGGTTTGCTAGAGTAGACCCTCTTTCACTCAGACTCAGCCCCCCCCCCCCCCCCCCCCCCCTGAAAAAAACTCAGCCCCCCCCCCCCCGAATCGAAATCCTGGCTACGGGCCTGCTTCCAAGGGCATTTTATGCAGGGTTTGGTCAGGTCAGGGATTATTGTTCATTCAATCATTGAAGGCGCACTGGAGCAGCCAAGTTTTCAGGCTCCTCCGAAAGGCTGCCAGGGTGGGGGCTTGCCTAATATCTCTGGGGAATGAATTCCAAAGCCGAGGGGCCACCCCAGAGAAGGCCTGCATCTATGGCAGGCATCGTCAGGGGTTGTGAGGTCTGTGAGGAAAAGAAAAGCACGAGCGCAGAAGAAGAAACAAGAGAAGGATGGTTTTGGTTTCGCAGCCGGGGAAGAAGCATGCTTTGAATTCGTTGGGAGCCCTTTTCTGAACTTCTGAGAACTTCTTGTTTTCCTCCCGAGCCTGCTTTGCAGCCCGACAGCGTCTGCAAAGGAAAGCCTGAAAAACTCCGCTCGGTGACGTTTCGAATTTGGGGGAAAGAGGGGGAGAGCAAGAAAGAAAGAAGGAAGGAATCAAAAGTCTTCTTTTTGTTGTTGTTGTTGTTCCCTCCCTCCTGCCGAAGAAGAGAGAAGCCCTCCTCCTCCTCCTCTTCCCCGTTGCTCTAGAGCAGAGCAAGCGGGCTGCAAGCCTCATCTTCGCCAGGCAAACAAAGCATCATTTTTTAATGACTCTCGGAATACATTTGTCGGCGCGCGCGCGCGCACTCCCGGGCTCGGGCTCGCGCTGGCGGGGCTGCTTTGCCTCGCGCCGCTTGTCATAATGGTTTCTTCAAACGCTTTGGGAAGCCTGTGATGTTCAAGGCCCGAGCCTCCCTCTCCCCCTCTCCCTCCCTCTCTCTCTCCCCCTCCCCACTTCTCTCTCGCCCGCTTGCTTTTTATGTGTCACACTTGTCAAGGAAAATAGAGCACCGCGCCTTTGTTTCGAGATGGTACCTGATCAATATCATCAATCCGCTTCCCTCCCTCTCATCCTCCTCTCTCTCTCTCTCTCTCTCTCGCACAAACACACACACCCGGGCGCACGCTCCCCTCTTCTCTCCCTCTTCTCTCTCTCTCTCTCCCTCTCTCTCTCTCTCTCTACAGCTGTATCCATTTCCTCCTGGCAAAAAGGGACTTTATGAATAAATGATACTGAAATGCTGAGGGTTCAGATACTAAATAATGAATTTCACCACCAAAAACACAACAACTTCTCCAATCATAAAATACCGCTCCTTCCATATTGATTGGGCTTTGGCGACTAGGATGCGAGTGCGAAGCCTCGTGCGCCAAGGTGCTCAAAAAAGAGAGACCAAGCCAGGGCGCGCCAGGCTCGCGGGGTGAAGACCATCCCTGGCCGGGCACGCCGGGCCCTCTCGCCCGCTCGCCTCCCGCTTTGGGGTTCGCCTTTGGGGGAGACGCCACACCAAGCCGCCCGTCTTAAGCCCTCGCTCTTCTTCAGAAGGGGCTCATCAGCCCCCTCTTCCTTTCTTGGCAGGAGGGGATGGAGTCCTGCAAAAGCTTGCCTCTCCTTGGGATGGGAACTTTGGCTCTCTCCTTGGGAACCGGACCGTAAGTGTGCCGTCGCTTCTGGGCTGCTGTGGGGCGGGCTTGGCTCAAGGAACAGCTTGGGAGAAAGAGAGAGAGAGAAGCCGGAGGAGGGGAGGGGTGTGCGTGTCTGTGTGTGCCCGGGAACACGCGTGGGGTCCCGTGCCAGGACAGTGGCTCAGGTCGGGAGATGCGCAGCTTCCCTCCGTTGCCGAGGAGTGAAGGGAGGGGGTGCCTCTGCGTGGAAGGGAGGGAGCCGCCCAGGGGCCAAAGGTTGGGCAGCCCGCCTTTTGGGGCTCTGCCCAGGTGCTCCTGCCTTCCCTGCCTGGGCAGCCCGGGCCAGGGAATGTCAGGACCTGCTCCCTCTCTCCCTCTCTCTCTCTCTCTCTGGGAGAAGGCTCGGGGTCAAGAGAAGGAGGGAGGGAGGGAGGGAAAGAGGGAGGGAGAGAGAGGGGGAAAAAAAACGAGGGCCAGAGTGGCGGCGGGCGCCCTTGGCACCAGCCTCTCTCTCTTTCTCTCTCTCTCTCTCTCTCTCTCAGTCGCTCGCTGTCAAGTTGGAGGCGAACTTTTTGGACGCGCTTGTTCCGCATCTGCCTATAAATTTCCTTTATTGCCTGTTAATGTCAGAGAAGCCTCCCTCTCTGTTGTTTGTTTGCTTAATTAGCCGGAACGAGGAGAATTTCGCTCCTCGTACAAGCTTTTGGCTCTCTTTTCATATCCCTTCCTCCTCCCCCTCCCTCCTATCCCACTTTTCCTCTTCTTCCTCCCACACTTCTTTTTCCTTTCCTCCTCTTTTTCCCCCTCCCACACTTCTTTTTATTCTCCTTTTTCTTCATCCTCTCCTCTTCTTGCTTTCCCTTCTCCTTCTCCTCTTCCTTCCTTCCTTCCTCCTCCTCTTCCTCGTTCGTCTACTTCCTCCACTTTTTTCTTCCTCCTCCTTATTCTTCCTCCTCCTTTTCCTTTCTCTGCTTCTTTCATTTTCTTCTCCTTCCTCCTCCTCCACTTCTTCCTCCTCCTCCTCCCTCTTCGTTTTCTCCTCCTCCTCCTCTTCTTTTTCTTCCTCTTCCTCTTTTTCTTCTCCTTCTTCCTCCTTTTTCTATTCTTTTCCTCCTCTTCTTTCTCTTCTTCTCTCCTCCTCCTCCTCTTCTTTTTCTTTTTCCTCCTCTTTATTTCTTATTCCTCCTCCTCTTCTTTTTCTTCTCCTTCCTCCTCCTCTTTCTCTTCTTTTTTTCTTCTTCCTCCTCTTCTTTTTTTTCTTCCTCTTCTTTTTCTTTTCCTTCCTCCTCTGTCTCTTCTTCCTCCTCCTCTTTTCTTCTCCGTCCTTCTCTTCTTTTTATTTATTTATTTTATTTTATTTACTATATTAATACCCCACGCTTCTCACCCCGAAGGGGACTCTTCCTCCTCCTTCTCTTCCTCTCACTCTTCTTCTTTTTCCTCCTCTTTCCCCTCCCCCCTCTTTCTCTCTCTTTTAATTCTTTATTATTTTTGGTATGTATATCTTTGGAGCAGATCAATACAGAGCAAAGCCAGGCAAATTAAGAAATCAAAGTATTTGCCTTACCTTTCTTTTTGGGTTGCTATAGATGGAACAATTCCCATCAATTTGGTAGTTACCAGACCCCCCCCCCCCCCCCCCAAAAAAAAAAACAAAAACCTAGAGAGGGTTTTATATTAAGCAGCTCAGGAGAATCTCATTTGTTTTATCCACTCAAGGATTGTGCTTTTGCCTACCCAAAACACTTTGCTTTCTGTTTGTCCTAGGTTTATTTATTTATTTATTTATTTACTGCACTTGTTAACCGCCGCTCTCAGCCCTAGGGCGACTCGCGGCGGTGTACAACAATCTAAAAACAGGTACAAAACAGCAACACAATCAAAATTACATCATCAACGCTAAATACAAATTACAACTAATTGATCCGCTTCGTCTCATTCATAAAATCATAGCCAACTCAAAATCCGTATAATGTTCCTGTCGTCGGTTACCGGTTAAAGCACTTAATTGAAAGCTTTCTCAAAGAGCCAGGTTTTCAAGTTTTTACGAAAGGAGAGCAAGGAGGGCGCCTGTCTAATATCAGTAGGGAGAGCGTTCCACAGCCGCGGGGCCACCACCGAGAAGGCCCTCTCTCTCGTCCCCGCCAGACGTGCCTGTGAAGCAGGCGGGACCGAGAGAAGGGCCTCCCCAGATGATCTCAAGGCCCTCGTGGGCTCATAGGCCAAGATGCGGTCCGAAAGGTATTTTGGGCCGGAACCGTTTAGGGCTTTGTAGGTTCAAATGAAGTTTTAAAAAATATATCTGCCTTGGTTTATTTATTTATATTTCTTCTTTCTTTCTCTCTCTCTCTCTCTTTCTAATGGGCAAAGAAGAGAAATTGAAGGCATTAATTTAGAGCTACTGATGCAATGAAATGGAGGAATATATTTAAGCCATTAGCTGCTTCAATCTCATGCCCACAAATAATTGATGAGTTTCTATTAAAGATTGACAAGCTAGCAGGCTGTGAAGCATTTTTACTAGCACGGGCTGCATAGGCAGACAATATGCATTGTGCTCCTTATCCTAATGCTTTGGATTCGCCTCTTCTAGAAGTCAAGGGACAACATATTTATTCTCTCTACCAATACTTTTCTTAAGGAGGGTGTTTGTGTTTTAAAGTCATAGTGATGGTGGGGATAAGTAGCTCCTCTCAAGTTGTAGATGTGGCTTGAAATTCTTCTGCTCAGGATTGAACTTGTACCAAGAATAACAGCCCCCCTCCCCCAAAACATTAAAAACCGTCAGTGGTTTGGTAGCACTTAGTATGACTGAGAGTAGACTCTCACATTTCAGTGGGTTGTTTTGAACTGCAGTGGCCTCTGTAGAGTGGAATATCCCACTCTGTGAAAAGACAGCTTTAGCATGATACAACATGCTCAACTTTTCTTTTAGCTTGTAGGAGTGTTACCATTTCTGAGGATGTGGTCAAGACACAAAATATATCCATGTTATTCTTTCCGGTATTCTCTTGTATAAAAATATTCATCAGTATCAAAACAACTTTGCTGCTTTCATCATGTGATTGAGGTGAGGCAAAAGCAAGCCAAATTACTCCACATTTTGGCTCTCCAAAATGTCTGTGCAATATTCCAAGAAACATATGGGAAGTCAACAAAACAGTAATGAGGATTGCAAACAAATCACCCAAACCGATGGATGTTTATGCAGATGTTATGTCCATGTCTGGGCAAAAGTAAATACATTTTTTTGTGATCGCCCTCCTTTCCAGATATCTGAACTATACTTATGCAAAGATTTGTTTCAGTATGCCCAATGGGATTTACTTCCAAGTAAGTCTACATAGGGTTCTAAACTTACGATAACTTTAGGGCTTTTTAAAAAAAGTTTTATGGTCAGTTTATTGTCTTTACTATTCATGGAAATAACAGGTTTTCTGAAGTGGAAATATGAGAAAGCTAAAATGGAAAGTAAATGTTTTAGTACTTGTAGATTGAGATCCCATTGAGCCTTATTTGTGATTTATAAATGCAGTGGCACACAGTGAGAGTCACCGCTCTGTTTTTGGATGTGTTGACAAGTCACAAGCTAATTACTTGTTTTTGTATCCATGAATGGATAGAAAATGGGCAAACCCTTGTCCTGGGTAATGGGTAAACCCTTGTGCTGGCTGAACTGCTGATCTGAAAGTAAATGGTTTGAATCCATGAGACAGGGTGAGTTCCTGTCTGTCAGCTCCAGCTTCCCATGCAGGGACATGAGAGAAGCCTCCCACAGGATGGTAACACATTGCCCCTGGGCAATGTCCTTGCAGACAGCCAATTCTCTCACACCAGAAGTGACTTGCTTCTGACACAATAAAAAATATTCATGAAAGTTTGTATTTCTGAAAAGAATATTAATTACCAACTAAGATGTTTAATTAAATATATATGTGTAACTAGCTGGAGTAAATTGTCCAATTTGATTATATGTTATAAGCAAATCCAATTATGCACCACATTATTCAAAATAGAGTATGCATGTCGATCATCAAGTAAATCTGCATTCAGCATTTTACACTTGGTTTTAATCATTAGCTGAATGCATAGTGAATAAATATAGGTTTTAAAAAAAATAAGTTCGAGTACAGATAGAAAGATGGATAAAGACCATCCACGATAACGAACACCTGGATCCAGAACACATTACACTGAGTTAAGCTGTTGATATTGCTTACAGTTGTTATCATACTGCCTAGTGGCGACCCGTTGGTGATATACCAGTGCAACTCAAGTATGTATTCATGTATGCATATATATGTGTGTGTATGTGTTTGCAAAGAAGGGAATTCAAGGCTGCTCATGTTCAGTGACCACTCACTGCCTTAAGTTCACCCTAGTCTTTCTCTGGGGACCAGCAGAGAAGCATTTAGCTAGATATCTAACACTTAAGTCATACTCCGAGATATTGTCAATGCCTGTCTGGCTGTCCCCTCCTGTCCACCAACCACTATATGGTGTGACCCGAGTGAGGATGGGGGCAAAAGACATATTACTTTTAAGAGAGGGAAGACAAAGCTTGTAGGTTAATCTTGATGGACTTTCATGCCACTTTCTGATGTGGGACCCCAGTCAGGGACTTACACAGACATTAGTTGTTGGTATCACCCCATAATAACTTCAATCTTTAGGTGCTATATGTGAGCACCATGTGCAAACTTTCCTTGAATGGAAGCAGCCCACTCATCAGATGCAATTTTGCAGGATGCTGCCAAATCTAACTTTAAATATGTAACAAGATTCTTTGTTGCAACAGATTAACATAGCTATCCTTCCCAACAGATATGCCAATGTATTTCTCAATGACTGGGGAGCCATCAATACAAAAGTAGGTGCTGTTGTCGAGTTTGTTTTCAAAAGGTACCAAATAAAAAAAAGAAAAGAAAAATAAATTATAGGTGGTAACACATAGGAGTAGAATATTACGCACAAATCAAAACTATCAAAAATGTATCAAATCTCTTTGTTACAAGACTTGTCCATTG